GTGGGGTGTGAGGGGTGGGGGTGGGGTTTGGGCGGAGGGGTAAAGGGGATTGTTAGGGGATACGGTGGGGTGGGTGTGTGGAATAAGCAGGTGGACATCAAACAAGTCGTAATGCGATGAAACTGCTATCAGTTGTGAGGCAGCGTGGTGGAATCAGGCTCTCGTCAAAATAATCAAAGTGAAGAAACTTGCATTTTTCCACAGGTTTGTGAATTTTTATCAAATTTTTGTTCAGACCGAAGGGCCAGAACCCAAATGGCCGCTGGATCGGAAAAGTTTCGTATTTTTGATTTTTGGCCCAACACCTTTCATGCCCATTAAAGAACTCATTTCTTGTGAATTTTTCTGAAAAACGTTGATTAAAAGCACACAAATTTCAGTTACCACGGACTCTTAAGCTTAGTAAATAACTCATCTTTGGCGGCCATTTTCTCACTAATTTTTCATCTGAAAACAGGTGACCCACACCTCCTTCTATCGCAAATATCTCCACTTGTATTCAAGAAAAATGGATATTTTTTTCATCCAAATAAAAACAAGTAAACAAGCTTTAAGATAACACCAATAACTCTATATGCCCAAAAATTGACAAGAGCCTGATTCCACCACGCTGCCTCACAATTACTCTTTCTCAATCTAGCAAATACCTTGTCTCGATAGATGTTTTGCTTAAGTTAAAATTAGGTAGAAACAAATAGCTTGGGGACAGTTTACGTTGTCGGGGACAAAGTTGTCTTTGCTGGAGTGGCTCTAGGCTGATAATATTAGCTGGTCTTAACGACTCAACATTAATGTGTGATCTGGATCTCTCAAGACTAACTTTTGGAAGTCTGAAGAGACTCAACATCTGTGATCTAGGTCGCTGAAGACAGAATTTTGGTTGGAGGTCTCAACCACTCAACATTTGTGATCTGGATGTCTGTAAACGGATCATTGTTGTGGTCTTAACGACTCAACAAGAATTTGTGATCTGGATCGCCCAAGTCTAAGAGACTCAAAATATTTGATCTGCGTCGCTGAAGTCAGAATTTTGTCGTGGTCTTAATGACTCAACATTTATGATCTGGATCGATCAAGACTAACCTTTGGAGGTCTTAACCTCTCGACATTAATTGTGATCTGGGCGTCGCTCAAGACTAACATTTGGAAGTCTAAGAGACTCAAAATTTGTGATCTGAGTCGCCGAAGACAGAATTTTGCTGTGGTCTTAACATTTGTGATCTGGGTCGAAAAAAAGGTGAGTCTCCACACTTGGCTCTGACGTGACATAGTTGACCCTACTCTGACCGCCACACTTCCCAGACAATGTGTAAAAAACGGCCACTTCCCATTTCCTTCTAAAAGATATTGTGGTATTATGACATTCGTCGATACGCCTCCCTGCTGTCTAAGACAACCACTTTTATCCTCGACAAAGGGTGAATGTCCTGCAAGTTTTCGATTGTAGATTTGTTTCAAAGCTTTGGTGACGGAGCCAATGGCCCTCCACAGACGATGAGAGCAGTGGTAGTTAGCCTTAGATAAGTGTCCGTGGTTTGATTTAACCCTATCCGTACGTCGTATTTTACTATCGTATCCATACGACGTGGGGAACTCTGTGCCACCACTTAACCCTATCCATACGTCGTGTTTT